TAGCCCAAAGAGTTTTGCATATCATATTATATACATATACATTTTAAAAATTGAACAAGAACTATACATTAAAATTTTAAATATACCCACACTGTAATTTTCTAGTAAAATTTTAGACAAAATTAAAAACACTGTTGTAGAAAGGAATGTGTAAGCAATATGTGGCCGTTTTAAAACAAATTTATATATTGACTATTTACATGAACCGTTGGATAAACTTATTCGGATTTTTTTTTTCGAATGAGGCTTACCATCGTCCATCGCATCACTAAATTTCAGGATGAAAATACACTTCTCCTAATCATCTTTTTTAACTTTGAAAACTTGTAAAACGCTACATGAGTATAACTAATAATGCTGTATAAATAATATCATCATAGGTATAATATACAGATACACACTACACATATATATTATTATATGAATTAAAATTTGAAAGATTCTAATATCGTTGTATTCAAAAATGTAATTTCACTGTCTGTTGCTCCCAAAATCGATTGTACATAAAATGTAAGATCCCACSCATACACTCTATATGATTTAAGGCTAAAGCATGTTCTAGTTTTTTTTTATTATTATTATTATTGATCTGAAATATACATCGACAACTAGGCCATAAGTACACGATTTTTTTTTTTGATTACATTGTTAGTATTTTAGTATTTACATGATTACATTAAATTAAATTGTACAATTCTGTTTTTCTTAAGAATAAAATTAAGCTTGTTCTAGTTTTATTCAGGTATCGTTATAATATTATGTTTATTATGGTTTTTTTTATCGTAAATATATATATTCTTCGGAACACCGAGGACGTTTCGAGTGTAAATAWTATATTATAATTTACAACGTAACATTATTGTATCCACTATAACATATTATTATTATTATTATTATATAACTATAATATAAACAAATTGTAAAATAAAACAAAATTCTATCGAATGTGTATTTTATATTATTATACAAAGTACATCAAACACAAACTTTCTTTTTATAATCCAACCTAATTCATTCTATACAGCACACTGCACATAATAAATGTATATRAATAGATAGAAAGAAAGAGGCCTTGCAGTGAATCCCGCCGGCAAGAGATGAGCAAAAGCAAGCCACCAAAGTGACAATAGTAATAATTGGAATATGGCAAAAACGGAGAAAAATAAATCTCACTCACGTTATTCATAGTATATATATTACATATATTACGGTTTATATTGTATATATTAGGTATGTCTCGGCATCTGCGGTCTGCAGCATATATAGMACAACCGATATGGATTGCGTTTGCTGTGTTACCTGGTCATTTATCGACAACCCAAATAAATATTCAGTGGCTGTGACGTTTTAACATCGAGATGGATGTTTTCATTCACGGCTAACATTAATTATTTTGTTCGCAAAATATTATAAAAGCACTGACAACATGACTCGTGTAATTTAAGTATCCATCATCATATTATACACATTGACGCCGAACTATTATTAATACACTTATCTGCACCCCCATCGCCAATTCAAGACACTATACATCCTTCCTCTTACACTACATTCTGACATAATATTATACTAGTGTAGCGTCCCAGCATACAGGAGGGCGAACGACTTGTGTTGAGGTAGATGGGTTGAGTGAAATCAGTATAACAACTTGACTTGTGATTAATTTATTATATATTTATTTGCTTGCGATGTAAATAAAACACTATATACCTAACCGTACTTCGTTCTCGAACGTCACGCCAAGAATTACAAGATCCAACGCAACGCCAATGCAGTCATGGTTTCAGTCGGCCGTCTTAATAATCCTGCTTTCATACTCAAAGAAGATCCAACAACGGCAGATCACACCTACGCGGTCAACTCCRACATCGAAAAAGAAAAAAATTACGTACGTTTTTCCTTTTACCCTCGGGGGGAGTAGAGTGTGGCTACCACAACGTCATAACACAAAATAGATTTTATTTAAATTTAATCTATTCTGTGTTTATAACGTTATTGTGGTAGGCGGAAAAAAAGGCCACGGTAAAAAAGCACAAAAAAATAAACACACTAAGGAAAAAAAGTCCAGAAATATAAATATAAATGTGAACACTTATACGCCGTTTTACTATTTTATCCTTATAGGTAATTTTTTGTTTTTTACTTTTTTGAATGACAACATAGAGTTTTAATTTCATTATAAATTCATTATTTAATATCATATTACACTATACCCAATAAAATATTTATACTATAATTATTGTTATATTATTTTTACAGTCGACTGACCGGCTGTGACTATTATCAGTGGCGCCGAAGTGTTTAAAAAATATTATGACATCGTACATTCAGAGGCCCCTCTGGGGCCTGTCCCCACCCTAATTTKTTCACAACCTAATCACAACCAGGCCACAGTACCTCTGGGGGGSCCCCCCAGCTATAAAATCTACTATGACATATGTCATTGATAAATTAGGTGATCGGCGCCACTGACTACTATTATTATTATATGACTTTATTTTGTACCTACTATTTTTGTATTTGAGTATCCGTAATCCGTATATAAAATTGCCTATATTTGTTATACTTTTTTTCCGTTGCGTTTTTTTTCTGGGCTTTTTTTCCGCGATTCCGTAATTGTATAACGTACCTGCGTCGCAAAACCCCCGCTATCAGCCGCCGCAACGCCACCTACCGACGGGACCGAAGACGATAAGCATACGCAGACGCCAGACAGTTACTATGTAGTAGACACCTTAGATCATATTATATGACTATATGTATATCCTCTATATATTATGATCTAAGGCAGACACGCAGTGCACTCGGTGCAGTCAGTGCASTCAGTGCACCATAGATAATAATATATAGAGGATATTATCTATGCAGTGCACCTTCACTTCTTCGTACGATCACAGTTTATATAATCTGTRGTACGACCATCGTCACATTCGTCACGCGTTCAGTGCCACGTATCGATAAAATCGTTTTGTTATTACTTATAGTTGTATTTTGAAAAATATATATATATAATATTCTGTTCAACCATTTATTCGTGTTACTGTTTAAATACCGACGCCCTTTCAGGCACACATAATTTTGTTTTATTTGTGGCAACTCGAACATTTTGGTCCCGTGACGATATACCGTCGTCAATTAGACACCAAAATATTATATATTAAAGCAAGCTTAATTACCCGCCTACTYATTATTACTCGGTTATTTATATTTTATTATTTTCATTTATATACACAAATTCTTGAAATGTTCAAAATTCAGACATTTTTYATTTAAATTACCATACTTACTTCATTAAAAAACAAAAAAGTAAAACAAAACTTGAAATAAYGATATTTAGGTAAATAATTCGGTAACAACTGTTAGCAAAACTACTTAAATGCGTATAAATCGGCGTCTGACGAACAGGTCCAGTGGCGCAATCGGTTAGCGCACGGTACTTATATGACAGTTGTTCGTGAGCGATGCCGGGGTTGTGAGTTCGAGCCTCACCTGGACCATAATATTTTTGCACCTTTTTCCACCATTAGTAACTTACTGTTCCTTTGTTTCTTTACTCAAAAGTCCCCAACTCACCATTAGGAACAACACTACACTATAATATATTATTATTTCTTATTACTGCCACCGTCTATTATTGTTATTGCCATTAATATTTATTATTTACCTATTGATATAAATCAACATTRTTATATTTTTCATTCATTTTGAAATTCAAATAATTTTTTCAATATTTAGTRTTTCCAAAGTTTACTGTATTTATAATAACTGATGATTACATTTTTTATTCCTAAATATACCAAGATAGTAGTAATAATTTCGAAATGCAAAAATTAAGAAAACTAACAAATATTTTTTTCAAAATATCAGATTTGTATACAAAAATTCCAAATAACAACCTCTTAAAATTTTTTTTTTTAAAAGGCTGGGGTGGGATATATCCCATATCCCCTCCATAATTACGCACTGGTAATATCAATGAGATCAATAGTAGACACACAGGATTTTAGTTTGGTTAGAGTTTTACCTRAGACTAATCACAGACCTGTGGGAGGCAAATTCACCAACATTTACATTATTTTTTGCTAAACAGTTTWTATATAATATGTTAAAACAAGTATTAGAGTTAATCTCAAATTGGGTCCATGGTTAGATTATTTAATCTAGTCATCTATAAATCCTTTAAAGTTTAAAGGATATAATAATAAATGAGGTAATAGTTGATGATATGATTATGGCAGAAATTTATCAGCCAAAAAAAAGGTAATACTATGACTTTTGATGTTATATTGTCGCTTTACAATTTATTTTATATTTTTTAAAAATTAATAGCAATTAATCTGCACTATGTATTGATTATGGTGGTAAATTAGTAGAAGTGAGAAATTTCAAGGGGATGGGAGGTTAGATATTTAGAACCTACAAATCTTGAATCCTGCCCCCGTAGTATATGTAACTAGTAAAGACTCACAAAATATGTAAAATATAATATTTTATCTTTTAAGTAATAAGTATTGTTATGCTTACAAATTATTTTTTTTTCCTTTCACTGTTCTTAACAAAACAAAAAATAATAATTAAATATGTACATTGTGTACTGTACACCCATTAGCTATGCATTTCAAATTCAGTGTTATTTAGTGTATTAATAATAAATATTTTTATTATAATTGTTATTTATAAACAATTTATCATGTTATAAAAAGGAAAAATTATTATTCAAATCTGTCATTATTTAATTAAGTTACCCATACACATAGCACATCATAACATACTTATTTATGTGTGATTATTTGACTAAGTATTTTTTGATTATATATAAAGCAAAATGTAATTTTTGTTTTTAAACTTTTTTTGTAATGTATGTTTTTTTTTATATTAGGCTTCATAATTTATTTACCCGTGTACAAAATACAATACATAGTTATGATAATCGTACATTCACATAATTATAATTTACATTTAGCCATACAGTTAAGGTAACAATTCATTTTTTCTTTTACGTTAGACAATACCAGTTGGTTTTAAATTTGGCGGATTGCTTGGAGTATTATTTAAACTTGACATTGTTTCTCTCACCTGGAAATTATAAACAATATTAATACCATAATTGTATACAATTGATGAATAGAATAATATATTTTACAAACATGCAATTCAAATTACTGAGTTAAGAAATCAAAAGTTATATTATAACATAATAAATTCAAAGTAAATAAAATAAATTTCTTAAAATTTTTGAGATGATGTCAAAACCACATACTATATTGTTTCTATTGTAAGAAAAAATGCACAACTTAACAAAATGTACATTCCAAATAATCTATTTTAATACCAATATTTATTTTAAAAGTAATTGAGTAAAATTATTAGCGTGGATGTATAATTTGATATTTTATACGTTTGGAAATTAGAGATAACACATGATGGTGTGTTGTTTCTTTTAAACAAAATTATTTGTCATGGTAAAATTTTAAATACGTCACAAATGTTTAAATTGTTATTTTATTACAAACTAAAAATACATGTCACTAGAAACTATGTCGTGATAAGAATTATAGAGATCATTTTCTGCAAAAATATTGAACAATCTATAGTTTTTATTTAGCTATATTAATGAAAAAAAAAAAATGTTTTATCATCTAATGTTTTATAAGAGTTTATTAGGCCAAATATATTAATTACTATAAAATATGTATGCATAACAAAATAAGATATAGGTTCCCAAATTGTTTACAGTATGGCCCATTTTGAAAAATAAATAAATTTTGTCGACTTTCAATATACAAATAATGAGCTTTTTTTTGTTTCATTGTTATTTCTCACTTTTTGATAACTTACGATTTGAAAATGTTGTGATTTCAAGTCACTAGTATATTTATAATTATCACATATTATGATCAAATCAATGATAATCAGTGAACAATATAGTAACATGGAAAATACTGTATCACTGTATTTTATACTTCTATTTACACTTTACTTAAGTACTTTATCATTAGATATATTAATTTTAATATTTCGTTGTATAAAATAATATATAAATAGTTTAAAAATTAATGTGACCAACCAAAAATATAATCATGAGCCAACGTGTGGTRGCCTCTTAAATATTATATAAATTATTTTAATAAAACAAAACTTGGGGTTATGGTAATATGGAAAGTGAAAAAAAAAAAGTTCTTATGAATTTAATTTTATAAATGTTCTTACTTTTCCAATGTTTTGAAAAATAAAACTACTAGCCATTGAAGAAATTCCCAGGTTTTCTTGATTACCTCCTTTGCATTTAATATAACCATACAAATTTGCTATGTTCAAAGTTAACGCTATGCTAACCAATAACTATAAAAAAAAGCAGAAAATATATTACATAATTATTAAATCACAATAACAAACCCACACAATGAAATTTATGTTCTAGTTACCATCCATTTAAAATTTATGCTAAAGAATGATGTGATAAAGAATAAAATCCACATTCCAGTGACGGACCATAGTCCAGCCCAAAATATTCTATATTCACTGGAGTTAACTCGATGCTGCACAGATCCCTGTTGACAAAGGGAACTCATGATATTTTCTGACTATTAGTATACAAAAATTACATCAATATAAAAATGCACATATAGTGAAGATTAGGATGAGTTACAGGATGGATTTGTAATGAGTAATGACATAAATATCAGCATTTAGTATAAAAATATATTATTGTCTTACATCATAACAATATGCAAAACATACAGAAGTTGTTTTCCATACTTTCTTAATAATAAAAGTCTAAGTTAAGTTTAGAACAGTTTCATGAAAAATCAATACATTTAAAATCTGCAATCTGGAAAGTATTACAGCATGTAAATGGTCTAATTTCAACACAAGCCTCACTAAATGGAAACCGATTTTGTAATTTTAAGCATTTATTTATGAAAACTCTCTTACACAATAATGATAAAATATCGTTAGTATTATAGATAGAAGGAACAAACAATTTATCACCTTTCGTGATTCGTAAACCCAATGTGAAACTCCATCATCGTCTACATAATTCCACCACCTCAGACCAACCATAATACGACCTAAAGATCAAAAATAATTATTAAAGTTTGTAGATATCTATAAATTTTTTCAAACAATAAATTGCTCAATATTTTCATTGAAATAATTTTTATATTAATATGTAGCCATATAGATAACTAACCTGTTATGTTTTTCACAATCCAGAAGTCCATGGATAACAATAAAATAATAAGAACAAATATTGTGATAAAGCTATCAGTAAATAATCTTCCAAAAAAATAGATGACAACAGCAGATACTCTGAAGAATAAGTGAAAAAAGGTTACAAATGGATGCCTGAAATAAAATAAATAAAATAGTTAAAAGAGAAAAGTTATTAAACATATATTAACAATATTATGATACATTTAGATATTTGTAGAATTTGGATGCAATTAAAAAATGTATAAACTTATAAACAATTACATTTTAATATATGACTGGCTATAGTAAAAYAAAAACTGAGGTATTCAGTATCAAATAATATCAAATAACTAGGTATTRTAAATTAGTGTGATTTTGTTTTATTCAATATACCAAGAGATAACTACTTGTTTAAACTGGACGTAAATTCATTGATACCAAAGTTGGGTTTGCTCCAACACAAGTGACAAACGCACCTATCTAATGTTGAATGGTATCCGACAAAATGTTATATGAAGTTTTATAGTTCTGGCATACTCGGCTGATAGTATAAGACAATAATATTTGGTATTCATTTTTAAATAAATGGGAACAATCAGGAACAATCCAACTACTTTGAAAGTCGCAAAGAATAATACAGTGTGTTATATCATATTCAACTTACGGTAATTGTGTAGAGTTTGCAGCGTTCTCCTCTCCGAAAGGGATAGTATCATCGCTGAGCGGGTCCTGTAGTCATCAGAACAATTATTAGAGTAACCATCAAGTTCACAAGCAATAATAAAACACGTAGGTAGATGATATAATAACGATATTTACTTACCATTTATTAAAGTGGTGGACAAGAGACTGTGTTGTTATTAATGAGCACCTCTAAATTGTGTATAGGCCGSGGGGCTACATAGTATTCAGACAAAGTGATATATTATTCTATATTACAATCGTTTGTAATCATAAAAATAAATCACGCAGATTTTTATTTGGTCTAAAATTCAGGACAGAGTACGACTTAGGTAAATTATTAAATTAAAGAATATTGTCAACTAGTATAAGCATAATAATTCGTACTACACGATATGACGATTGACGTTTCACAATGAAGAACTCACGAATTTGTGATTGTGGATATTATGATACGACTACAATTTTTTTTTATGATAACAATTAAATTGATAAGTAAATTGATAACAGGCAGTTCGCACCACGATTAAAGATATCTTTAATCGTGGTTCGCACACACCTACGAATCGTGGCTCTGCTGCATTAGGTGGAGGGGTGGACCTTTGACTAATCAATTTTTCCAATAACATTGCATGTAGTTATCATAATTCATAATACCTTATGTTATCATAGATATACATATACCTGGTTTGAGGATAAATCGTTATCATTACGCAATTTCATAAAAATTTAAAACTCAAACGCTCAAAACATTTTTCCTATAATGACGATTCAAATTTTCTCTATAGCTATTTGAAGCAAAACTTATGGAAAACTAAGTGTTAAATTT